GCAGACAGTCAGTCATCAGTCAGTCAGACAGACAGTCACTGTGTAGCCCTGGCTGTCCTGGAGTTCCCTATGCATCCCAGCTGGCCTCAAACTCACAGAGATCCACCTGCCTCTGCCTCCTGAGTGCTGGGATTAAAGTTGTGCACCACCAACCCAGCTTCGATTTATTTGTTTCTTGTTATGCATCTGTGTGCATCTGTGTGGGTATCCTTGGAGACCAGGAGAGGGCGCCAGATCCTTAGCTGGAGAGCCACCTGATGTTAGTTTAGTGCTGGGCTCTGAACTCCAGGCCTCGTGATAGAGCTACAAGTGCCTTTAACCACTGCAGACCCCTCCGGCCCTGGGCTGTCTGTCTTGCTAGGGAAGCCTGCTCAGTGTCCCGTCTGTGTGTGTCCTTGGCCTGTGGCTGCCTCTGTGCTTCACCCACAGAGCCGAGTAGTTGGACAGCCTACCACCTGAGGGAAAAGGAGCTGACCCTAGTGTGGGAGCCCGTTCTGGGGTTCCTCGTGGCTTTACCCAGCAGGTCCGAATAGAGGATGATCAGGACCACGGGCCTGAGTGCAGGTGTCTGAGATGGCCTGCACTTGGCTGTGCTGGGGGAGGAGGTCTTTTGCTCCACCCCTTGGCGTCTCTATAAAAACCCTGGACCAGAGACAGTCCGGGCCCGTTGGAATAGGTTCCAGGCCCTCTCGAGGCTATCCTTTATTTTCTATCTGTTTATCTCCACAAGAGTCTCCGCTATAAATCCTTCTATCTAATATTTCCTGCTGCTCGCACTCAAGAAAACTCTGGGAAGCTGTGGGGGTGGTGGGTAAACGCCCCACACCCTAGGTGTAGATAGAGCCATGAACCCCCACCTGACCCGACTCCATCTTTTTATAATTTACATTCTTCGTTGCTGTTATTTGGGATGGGTCCTTGTTCTGTTGCCAAGATTGGTCCCGAATTCCTGGGGTCAAGAAATCTTCCCACCTTAGCAATCCGCAGTAGCTGGGACTGTGGCCCATGCACCATGCTAGGCAGACTTTTGTTTTTGTTTGAGGGTTTTATTGTACTTTTGGTTATGAAGTAATGCATTCATCTGCTTTATGCATCCTAACACACTTGGTGCCTGGTGGTCAGAAGCTCATAAACATGAACGAAGGCTGAGAAGCCATGGCAGAGCCCTGAGGAGAAGTGATCCACACCGGGTGTGGGATTGGCCTAGTAGTGAGAGTCCTTGAGAATTATGAGTTCAGATCACACTCAACTGACTTATAACATCTCTCCTCATCAGTGATGGTAATTTGTATCTTCCTGAAATCTTAAGATTCATTCAACAAGGGCTGGAGAGATGGCTCAGCAGTTTGGAGCACTGACTGCTCTTCCAAAGGTCCTGAGTTCAATTCCCAGCAACCACATGGTGGCTCACAACCATCTCTAGTAGGATCTGATGCCCTCTTCTGGCATTAAGTTATACATGCAGATAAAGCACTCATATACATAAAATAAATAATAAAATCTTTTTTTAAAAAAAAAAAGATTCATTCACCAAACATGTTATGCCTCCTTGCTGACTCAGCAGTGTGTAAGGCTCCGAAGAGGGGAGGGAAGAGGGGGCTGTGATGTCACCTGGCGGGGTTGTCACTTTGCATGTGGTGTGCAGCATTTCTGGCTGGTTCTGCTCTGACTCAGTTGTCTTTCTTTCTCGTACCCAGCTTTGTCCTGCCAAGAAGTCACCGAGGATGAGGTCTTGGATGCAAGCTGCCTGCTGGATGTGCTGAGGATGTACAGGTGGCAGATTTCTTCCTTTGAAGAACAGGTGAGCACTCCAGACAGCAGGCTGAGCTTGGAGAGTCCCTTTCCCTAGGGAACGGGGTGCGTGTGCGTGCCACTGGGGATCAAGCCCAAGGCCTGGAATCTGCTTGAATATGCTAGGCAGGTGCTCTCCCACTGAGTTCTCTCCCTTGCTTTTCTGTGACACTTTGGGCATCTTAGTGTTGTGTGAGCAGAGGTCCAGTGTCTCACTGCTGTCCTGATTAGAGGACACAAAACTCTGTCACTTTGGCAGGAAAACAGTGGTCACAAGGGAGAGCTTCCGGCTCTTCTGACTCTGCACTCCAGGTGGTGAGAGAGCTTCTGGCCCTTGTTCTAGAAGATCCATCTTCAGAGGGGGCTTAAAGTGTCCCCAGGCCCTGAGCAGGTGACCCCACAGCCACAGGACTTGGTTCAGGACGCTCTCCCTTCCTTTCGCCCCTTCACTGTGGTCTTTGGAATCTGGCATGCCTCCCTCCTGACCACTGTTACCTAGAGCGACCCCGAGGCTGCGGCCAGCAGGACTGGGCCCTAGGGTGACACCCTCTGCTTCCCCGGCACCCAGGCACATCTTCAGCAGCTGCATCTCCAAGTGGCCTGGTCCCACTTTGTGTATGGGAGGGGGGCAGCCCCTCAGAGACTCTTCCACACTGGGCTGGATGAGGGGCTGTGGAAACATGGGAAAGGGTGAGGCCCCCACCCTTGATCTCACGGATTTATCTTGTTCCTCCCCGATCGGAAGCCATGTTGCGCCACGTTTCAAACACACGGTGGGTGATGAGTGTGTGACGGTTTCTCTTGCCGGCTGCATCTGTATGCTGGAGTGTGTTTCCACCTCCCATTCGGAAATGACCTCAGCTGCTGGACTGACTCAGCGGTCCTTCCCTGTGTCCTAGCTGAGAGAGAGAGACTCTCAGGTCAGTCTCCAAGGACATTGTAAGTCCCACCCTTCTGTCAAGGACCTGCTTAAGCCAAGTCACCCTGGGCTGTTTCCCAAAGTCGGTGCACAGCAGTTCTGGGCCACAGATGCAGCCACAGGGAAGAGGGGGCATCTTCTGAGCAGACAGAGCCTCGGTCCTGCTGTTGGTCTCGCCCACATCTGCACCATCTTGCCATCCGGTTAGTGCAGAACCAGATCACACTGATGGGCAACCCATTTTGTGTCTAAACCAGGAGCTGTAGGAGATGCACTAGGCTCAGTCCTTGGTGTGCGTTCCCTAACTGCGTCCCTGTGCCAGCCCTGTTACCCAGGAGTCAGGGTACAGTTGGGGACACAGGCTCAGAGGAGCAAAGTGACTTCCCGGTCAGCTGCTCTGTCAGTGGCAGAGCCAGCATTGGAAGGGTCTGGCACTGAGGTGCACATGCACCCCCACCTCTTCTGTAGTGTTACCCCTTTCCTCACAGCCCGAGGAGCCTGCAGACTGGCTGGCACAGGCTGCGGGAGTACAGAGCGAGCCAGCTGTCGGCTGGTTCTCCTCCCTGACAGGGCTGGGCTCTGCTTGTGCTCTTGGCCAATGGTGGCCTTCCACACCTGCCCCTGGGTGAGCGCTTGCAGCCTGGCAGGGTGAAGGCGGGAGCGGTGGGGCTTTGAGGTCAAGGGCAGCCCGGGCTGTGAGCTGCACAGGTTAGTGGGACGCTGTCTCCACATGACCGGTACAGAAAGGACTCGGATGGAGCTCAGTCAGATCCCATCCCCAGTACTGCAGATTACATTAAATAAAATAATAAAGTTTGGTTTGTAGCTTTGGAGCCTGTCCTGGCTCTCACTCTGTAGACCAGGCTGGCCTCGAACTCACAGAGATTGGCCTGGCTCTGCCTCCCAGTGCTGGAAATTAAAGGTGTGTACCACCACTGCCTGGCTAAATTAGAAATTTAAAATTATAAACTAGTGCTCTGGTTTGCTGTGACTTCTGTTTGAAGAGTGTCCTAGTTAGGGCTGCTGTTGCTGTGATGAACACCATGGCCAAAAGCAAGTTGGGGAGGAAAAGGTTTATTTGGCTTACACTTCCAGATCACAGTCCATCATTGAGGGAAGTCAGGACAGGAACTCAAGCAGGGCAGGAACCTGGAGGCAGGAGCTGAAGCAGAGGCCATGGAGGGGAGCTGCTTGCTGGCTTGCTC